AAGTGCCTAAAGCCCCAGGGCATCGAAATGCCATTTTCGACACATCCTCTTCAACGATGAAGATTTGATTATACCCTAAGTCTCCATCAAGCATACTCATGTATTCGAAGCCAGCGGCAAAATCGACAAGCATTTCCGCCACAGGCATTGGATATTCAGCTTTGGGTGTTGCAACATTTAAATCTCTAAAATCGATGCACACCCTTAAGGTACCATTTTTCTTTATAGAAGGTACTATATTTGCAATCCATTCGACATACCTGGTTATTCAGATGAACTTGCATCTCAGTAGTCTTTCGACTTCCATCTTGATCTTCAACAAGATCTCTGGTGCAAAACACCTTAGAGTTTGCTTGACAGGCTTTTTTCTAGGCTTTATTGGTAGTTGAAGCTCTACCACTTCCCTGTCGAGACCAGGCATTTCATCATAATCTCATGCAAAGCAGTCTTTGAACTCCTTCAACAATTGGATTATTTTGATCCTTAGCTCTGGATTTATCTTTGCACTAATGTATGTTGGTATTTTCACCAAACCTTCGCTCAGGTCTATTTCTTCCAGAGGATCCTGCGCTAGCATTTTAACACTGTTTGCCAATAGATCCTTTTCAAAACCCAAAGCCTCATCATCATAGATGGCATCTAGCATCTAGTTTTGCATTTCTTCCTCTTTCGTGTTAGGTGGTTGCGGTTCGAAGTCTTTCCTAGGACCTTTTGGAAGAAATACTTGCTCACTGGCTTCAGGAGCCATGTACTTGACTTCAGTCTCTAAGGCCGCTATCATTCTACTTTCTACTTTTGATCTCTCCTTGAACGAGATCCCTGAAGAAAAAAACATTGTGAAGTTTTATGGCTCAAAAAATTATGATACTTACAAAAACCTCTTTTATTTCTTTGTTCTAGAGGAGACATTTTTGCCCCTGGGGGCACTATCATTTGGCCATCTTTAACTAACAAGTCAAATATCTCGTCATATTTTGTGATGTCAAAACTATATGTTTTCTTTGGGAATCTATAACTGTTCTTTTCAGACTCAGTATGATTCTTCCCATCCGAGGGCACTAACAATCTACAAGAGTATGGTGTCCCTTGTTTTAACTCTGCTAAATCTATTTTGCTTTCTTCGACAGCTATAGGATCACTAGATGTCTCTGGACCGTCATCATCCATTTCGACATAGGCTACCCTTTCTCTTCGATGAGTCTTAGTTGCTTTAGCTTTTCAATTTTAAGACGTTCTACCTGTCGAACTCTATCGGCCAATTAGGCCATATCCCTCAGGTATTTGGTATCTAATTTTTTCCTAATAGAATAATCTAGCCCCCCTGCTGCCATTTTGACCAATTCATGCTCAGACACTTGTGTAAAGCATCTGGCTTTAAGAAGTCGGAATCTATTTAGATACTCATCTATTGGCTCGGTGAATTTTCTTTTCACGCTAGCCAGTTCTTTCAGGCTTATTTTGGTTTGTCCCATGTAAAATTGTTCATGGAACAATCTCTCCAATTGATTCCAATTGTGGATCGAATTGGCTGGGAGGGTGGTAAACCAAGTAAAAGCGTTTTTAGTTAGAGAACTTGGGAAGTATTTAATTCTAAGGCTCTCGTTATTTGATATTTCCCCAGCTTCTATCAAATATCTCCCTATATGTTCGACAATGGACTCCGTCGTATCCCCTGAAAACTTAGTGAACTTTGGAACTTTCCACTTAAGGGGTAAATCTTTTTGCAAGATATACTCTGACAATGGGGATGTAAAGTTTGGCCTATGAAAGCCAATGTTCATTCCATTTTGTATCATGATTCTTTCGATCATGGCTGTCAGATTATTTTCTGTTCCATAATTATGGTGTCGAACCTGCTGTATTAGTTCGTCAACATTTTGGTTTCTATTTGCCACCATTACACCTTGATCACCATCTCTAGGGATCTGTGGGGGAAGTCTGGGTATTTCGACCCTAGGTTGTTCGATTTCCACTCTGTGGTTCCTCCTATCTAGTTGTGGGTTTTGGTTAATGGTTACGTCTTCTTCTAAGACTATACCTTGATTTTCTCTTATTGGTGCTCTTTGGGGTTGCCGAATAGGTTGGGGAACCCCAAAAAATTCAGTTATGCTCTGGTCGAAGATTAATTTTAACTCAGAAATTTTTCTAAGTATTTTTCCAATCTGTCGACGTATTTCCAGCTTAGATTTGTTCAATCTATTTTTGGCCCATAAGGCCAATTTGTTGTGGGTGTCGAATTTAGGAGCTAACAAATACGTATCATCATCGTAGCACCAAAATCCCCCAAAATCATACAAAAATCTATCGATATTGTGACTCTCTTTGTTCCTACAAGAAAGTTATTCGTTTAGTGTTTTTCGCAAAAACATGTAGGAGGACCGTAATCCGATTCTCTGCAACTGTGATCGAAAGAAGACTGAAACCACATAATACCAGAATTAACTTTTGAATTAGATTAGTCGGTCCACTAAACTAGATATTAGTGGTGAAAAAACTAAACAAAAAAATAGTAATATTAATTAATTTGCTTTGGATGTATTATATTTTTAAATATAAATATATAACTAGATTGCGCGGGTGTAAATTAACTTATTTATTTATTATTGAATTTTAACTATATTAAGAGTTTGTTTTGAGAAAATATAATTACTAAATTTATATTATATTTTTTTTCTGAACTATAATAGAGACAATGCTATAAATTAATTATATAGACAAAAATAAAATTTATTTGAAAAGAAAATACATATTTATAAATTAAGATTAATATCCGTAATTTCGATTTACAAACTTAAATATCTATAAATTGATTTTTTTTTAATTTATTTTGATTCTCATGTTTTTTTACACTTATCTTTTATTTAGATATTTTATTTTAGTTTTTTAAATTTATTTATTTATTTTTACTGTTAAATAAAATTAAAAATTTATTTATAATTATTATCAAATAAAACTTTCAATAACTTTATAAAATTTATATCTACTTTGTCGAACTTTAGCTGTCTGATGAATAAATGGTTGAAAATGTTAGTTGATATATTAAATTAATTATTTTTTAATATATTATTTTAATTTTCATTATTGAGATTATAAAAAAGTAATTCTATTTTTTCGTTGATATCGGTTGAAATGAGTATTTTTTTTTAGACATTATCATGGTTGTTTGTAATATATTCTCGATGACCACAATTATAAAACAAAAGAATAAACTATTTTAAAAAAAATTCCATATCCTAATATGCAAGAAATCATAAATATTATTGTTTGTCTTTAGTTTATTATTTGGTATTATATGAAAAATATAATAGTAAAGTATACACGGTAAAAGATTATTGCATACGGTATTATATTTTATGATCAACTCATAAGGACTTATATTTGAAAATTGTGTAAGAATCACTTTAAAATTAAAAATATTTGTTTCAAGTGTTACTTTTATGACTATAATTTTAGGAAGACAAAAAATATTTTATTGGGTTTGATTTCTACATCTTTTTTATTTTCTAAATATGAGATAATATTCTTAATGAAAGCGAATATACATAGTTGAAATAATGATTGATTAATTAGAATATTTTATCTAAAATAAGATTTTATTGCACCCATGTCCTTTAATTTATAAAAGAATTGTACTTGATATTTTAAAAAGGGCAAATAAGTTTTAGGATGGGTCGCATAAGATTATGGGATGGTGTGATAAATTTTAGGGTTATAATTGTTAATGTGTTGTTACAATATTCGATGCATTGAAACTAATATATTATGATGCATTGAATTTAATATATTATATAGATGAATGTTCATTTTTTAGAAATTTTCAAAGTTATTTTTACTATACTCTCTATAGTCACTATTATAAAACAAAAGAGTAAACTATAATTCACTTTGAAAAAAATTCTATATTCTCATATACGATAAATTTAAAATATTGTTGCTTGTCTTTAGTTTATTATTTTGTAAATTATAATTCACTTTGAAAAGATTGTTGCATATTATTTTATATTTTAAGATCAACTCAAAATGACTTATCTTTGAAAATTTTGTAAGAACTATTTTAAAATTAAAAATATTTATTTCAGATGTTACTTTTGTTGTTATAATTATATTTTAAGAAAATAAAAAAAAAATATTTTTATTGTGTTTAAATTCTCTCATCTTTTTTGTATGATATTTTGTTATTTGTTATTAGTTTCTTATTTAATATTTTATAAAAACAGTAGTAAAGTGGATAGACAACGTAAAACATTGTTTTATACTATATTATATATTTAAATAAGTTTAAAGTTACTTATATTTGAAAAATATGTAAGAACTACTTTAAGATTAAATATTTATTTTAAGTGTTACTTTTATTGGTATAATTTCATAAGAACAAAAAATATTTTATTGTGTTTGAATTTTCACATATTTTTTATTTTTGAAATATGAGAAAAAAATTTAATTTAAGAGAATATACATAATTAGAGTAATGATTGATTTGTTAGATCAATTTGTTAAAAATGAGAAATTATTTTGTCTTTGCAAGAGTTTGAATCCGTGACCTCTGATTTATAAAAATATTGCATTTGACATTTTAAAAAAGTGAGAATGAGATGTGACAAAATTTAGAATTATAATGGATGACGTGTTGATATAATATTTGATTCATTAAATTTAATATATAATATATTATATAGATATTGATTGAATATGATAAAAATCCTCAACATAAACGTTTTTATAATATATCTACATTAGGCTAAAAAAACTAGTAATATGTACTATGGGACATAGAGTAAAAGATACAGCTAGATAAATATATGTGCATATTTTATAAATGATTCTGTCAACCTAATATACTCTGATTTATAAATGTGCCAAAATCATGCAGCACACGTAACCCCACCCTCTACCAAAATTAAATTACAAAGTACAAAAAAAAAGTTATGATTCTCATCAAAGGTTTAGAATTTGGATCATCCAGCTATGCATGCGGTCCCTTCATAAATATTTATTTGATTTTAGTTGTTGTTGAAGATTCTTTGTCCAGGTGATAGAATCATTCTTGGATCAAACTTATATTTTCTTTGTACAAAACTTTTCCATTTTTTAGGTCCAAAATGGTTTCTCCACTCTTCCTGTGTGCTGTAGTGGGGAAGATATAACTTATACTTAATTTCAGCATCATTGCAATATTTCAAAATTTCTATGTTTTGTGCATCAAAGGCTTTCCAATTATCAAATCCACTTGAGTGCAAAAATCCAACTGCATAAAAGATTTCATCCTCATCATCTGGTATTGTTGCTGACATCTTATTGTCCCACCTGAAAAAAATATTAATTAATTTATTGATTCTTCTTAACTAGCTTTTAGTTTAATTAAGTAGCTTTTAGGTTAATTAAGTGCTTACTTGTTTCTATTCATGGGATAAACCAAGACAGGTCCTGTGGTGATGTTTCTTTTTTGAATTATGTTGTTGAAAACACCTGAGTTAAAATCCATTATTCTTGATTTTGGTATAAACATGTTAAGCCATGGATGAGGAACATCCCATAGTCCTTGCGATTGAAGTTTCAATTCTCCACTTCTCACTCTATTCAAGAACTCAACAAAAGATACGTTTTTTTCATAGTAAAATCCGGGGATATAATTCAGTCCTTGGACCAAAGTTTGAATTTCCTACACAAACATAAAAAATATAAATTAGTCCAATTCATAGCAACAAAGACATTCAATTGCAGATACATTCAATTACATAGACATTCAATTATAGTTGATAGCGACAGTGACATTCAACTGCAGAAATATTAATTCAACAATAGTTGATAACGACTGAAACATTCAAATGCAGTTGATAACAACGTAAACATTCAACTATCGAGATGCGCATTTTTTCGTCGACACTCCATTTATTTTTAAAGGATGGAGTTTGAATTATTAGAATACTAGACAAAAATTATATATTAAAAAAAAGTAATAATTAAAAATAAAATGTACCTTGTTGAGAGTGTTTTCATAGTGGTGATCATAATATTTGGCAATTTCCAAACAATAGAGGACCCTATGTTGAGTAACTAGGGAAAGTATCCTTTGATGGTCGGTTAAAGGGAAGAAAGAAGATCTCCAATTATTTATGGGTCCTTGATGCATTAGTACAATTCCTTCCAAATAATCCAACTTACTATTTTTGCTTAAAATTAAACTTTCTTGATCTTTCGTAAAAACTTCAAAATCACTATACAAAAGTCTTATCCATTTTACCTGCATGTCAATCAAATCAAAATTGACCATTAACTCATTAATTAGGCTTGTTAACTAATTAATTGTCCTCCTAATCACATACTAATTATATACTATATTATATGCATAGATGGAAAATAAGCATGACCGCGTCATTAAGGTCCACCCACAAGAATACAAATAAATAAAAATAATTCGGAAGTGACATAATTGAAGGTGTGTTTAAATCCATCCTAAAAAATAAGAGTAGGACGGAACGGATCTCCAGATACCGTATATTTTATATTTAAAAATATAAAATTTTATATTAATTTCTATTGAAAAAAATATGTCAAAATATCATAAACACATTAGAATGTTAATCTAAAATTTTAGTCGTATCACAAAAAAATATAATAAAAATAGATGTATTCTACGAGTTGAACTTGTTTTACCCCTAATTAAATGTATTTCATTCAAAACATGAATCAAATACATTCAACTTTATAAAAAAATTTTGGTTGCTATTAATTGATTCTAGAAGCATTATAGTGGAAACAAAAACATAGTCATGCACATGTAAAGAATACAAAATAAAGGACAACGAGGACAAAGATAATAATATGGCCCTTTTTATTGGCACAATCACTTATTAAGGTCTCATATACAGTCACAATCATTATAAAAGTACTTCTGAAATTTTTCTCCTTTTTTCAAAACAAGTATTTAATTGTTTTCGATCTTATGAATCTCACATTATCTATATGCATGTGGCTATAACTCAATTGTCTCATTATTTAATTTTGTATTTTTTTTGTTCATGGATGTGTAAAATACTACACTACAAGGACAATTATTAGATGCTCTTGTAAAGTTTGATTTTGATATATGGTTGAACAATTAATGTGACAACATGAAGAATTGGGTTTATCATGAATGGTTGGAAGAAGAAGCTAGCAACAAGACAAAAAATTAGTCTTTTTTCTTTCTATTTTTAAAACTGTACGTACCCTCCTTGGTGCTGCCTCAAGAGCAATTCTTGCCCTTGTTATTATTCCAAATTGTCCTAGACCTCCAAGGACACCATGAAATAATTCTGAATTCTTCTGTTTAGAGCATGTTACAAATTCTCCTTTTCCTGAAGAAAAAAAAAGGACCGTACCATAAAATTTAAGTATAAATTAATTATTTAATCAAATAATTTTTAATAAATATGTGCTAGTATCATATGGTTTGTAAATACATATCAAATATCATATATAGTAAAGAGCTCTATAAATATTTCATATACAAATTATATACATATCTATATAATTAAATAAGAGTCTTATTTTGTGTTGATTTAATCATGACAATAGTTTCTAAAATGTTTTTTAATCTCAAATTAAATTTGTGGTATTCTGTGTTGCACAGTCCAAAAACGGTTTTGTTTTTTTTATTTTTTATAAAAAAGTATTATATAGAATACTTTTTGATAATATAATAGATATAATAAAAATAAAATACTTGCATGCATACATATTTATTAAAAAAGCACATGGGTAAAGTTCAAAATATTTATTATTTGTATTAAAATTATTATAGTTAAGGAATTGACCTAAGTAGACTTGACCAAACAATATATAAAATAAACAGTCCATAAAATAAAAAGAAAAAATAGGAGTAGACTATGTCGACAATGTGAACAGAGTCTATGGGTTTAGGATTTTTCAAAAATAGGACCGGGTGGAAATTAATTATTAACTTCTCCGAAATATCAGATAAAGAATATCTTAATAACCACGAAATTTGGTAGTGATAGTAAATGGAGTAGAATTAATACTGTTCTAAAAGAAGAATAAAAAATCAAAAACAATACTAATAAAAAAAGACTAAAAAAAGTTCAGTGAAGGAATCTAACGGAAACCTTTACGATACTAAAACTTAAACAGATTATATGTTAAACCTTAATTGTATATGTCTTTTTATAAAAAGGAGTTAGAAAAGTTTTCCTTTATATGTCACTGTGCATTGTAAAGCCAAAATGCACATGGTAGTTCGTTAGTTTCTCAAATGGATCGTGACACAACAGGTCCAGACTCTTGAAAAAAACTCATAAATTTCAACTATAATTTACAAAGAAATTTACTTCTATCTAAACATCCAAGGTTTTAAATATCAGATCGCGACCACATTAAGGTGTTCGCAATTTTTAATCTGTAAAAATGTTACGATACTGATTGTGGTCCTAGCGATATGTTTCTTAAAACCAAATACATATCTTCAATAAGATAAAGAATTCTGGATATAAACCCTAGTCACAAATAATCTGAACAAAGTAAAAAATTAACATAAAATAAATTATATTTAATTACGTCTGTAAATCCTAACTCAACTAACAAAAACATGAGATTCAGAGTTTAAACCCGGGTGTCAACTTTCAATCCAAAACCCGGATAAATATATATTTAGATGCATAAGAAAATGTTGATATATATATACTTACCAGTAACAACATCCAATTGATGAACATTAGAAATTTGAGGTCCATAACGAAATGTTTGTCCACTAATTCCAGCGTTAGAGAGTGTTCCTCCAACAGTCAAGTAAAGATAATCGGTCCAAGAAACAGGTGCAAGTCCATACTCAAGTGTTTCATATAAAACATCTATCCACAGTTGTTCCCCACCAACATCAACATAGTATCCAACCTTAGAATCTCCGAAAACCTTAATCCCATCATTAGCTTTTTTCATTCTAATATTATTCTTAACCACTTCACGATCTCCTCTTTCTCTTAACCCTTTCATGTCAACCACGACGCCGTCACGTGCCATGGCTTGTCCGCGCGTGGAATGGCCTTGTCCTCTTGCGGCGATACGAAAAGGGACAGAACTGTTGAACGACAGCTTAATGAGAGTTGCTATGTCGTTCACAGTTGTCGGACGAAACACAGCTGCTGGTGAATCGTGTACGAGGTTGCCGTAGTCGTTTGAAGCTTCTTCAAGGGCTTTTGGGTCGGTTATGAGTTTTCCAGATATGTTGTTGTTTGTTTTGGATAACTCTGTTGGAAGTGAAGATATCCATTGCTCGGTTTTACCAACGGTGGATATTAAACGTGGTATGGTTATTATTAAGAGAATGATGTATATTGGAAAAGGGTAACTCATAGCCATTTTTGTGTGTGTGTGTGGATGGAGAGAATGAATATGAGAGAAAAAGGAGAGAAATTGTTTTTGGTTTGGTGATGAAATGATGTGGTTGTGTAGTGTTTGTGGGAGAAGGGAAAAGAGGGAGGGGGGTATAAATAGAATAGAAGAAGACTTTGCATGATAAAAGATGGAAATAAGTGTGTGTTTTCAGAGAGAGAAGAATCTTTTGTCTTTTAGGTTTAATAATTGAAAATTGCTGATTTTCTAATAACTTGCAGAGAGAAAAGATTTTATGACAGTTGTTAATTCAAAATATAAATTTTATTTTTATGTAGATATAAACTTTTTCAATGAAGTTTTTTCAGTATATATATTTAAACATTTATAAAAACTCAAATTTAAACATTGATTTAACATGTTTTAAAACCTAGTAATGAAGTGTGAAACTTGAGAGAGCGAATATTACCATGTCTTTTCATCTTTATTAGTAATAGATCGTTGATATGTGTTTCGAACAGATATATTAAAAATAAGATTATATTTTTTATAATAGTTTATATTTGATTTTTTTATTTACATATAAAATTATCTTGTAGGCTATTTAGTGCGTGGAATATCACATATTTATATATTGATTAATAAAATTATTAATTAAAATTTATATTAATATAATAAATAAATTATCATAATAATTAAAGAATATTAGTTTAAAAAGTTAAGAATATGAATTACAAAGTATGTTTATTTATGGTGTAAAAATATTGTAATCATAATCTAATAAACTACAAACGAAAAATAATAATGTAATAATTTGACTTATGTGTTTTTCATAAATAAATTATAAAACAGAAAATATTTATAAAAAAAAATAGGTTTGTACTATAATAAATTTTGAATTGAATTTTCACTACTACAAATAACACATGTAATATCGGACACGAAATACGTTTTACCTCAGTATCGAAAGCGAGATAAATAAGATCGTCATGAAAAGTAAAGACTTATCACCTCGTTGTTTAAAATACTGAGGAATATTTTAATAGCACATGAGTTCTATCCACAACGTTTGTATTTTTATTATTTTCAATAGTAGCGCCTCATGTGTCTCGGTTTTTTAATAAAACCAAAGGGTAAATTAGTAGTTTTTTTTTTTTTTTTATAATTTAAACTGCTTACATTATTTATACAGAAAATTAATAAAATATTTTATTTACAAAATACAATGTTTATCCGGAATATTAAACTGGTTACATTGTTTACACAGAATATCAATACAAAATTTAAGTTGTCCATGAAGATCATATGTTGGATCTTCAAATCCTTGATATTCTCGGAAGATCAAATGTTAGAAAACAATATATTCTCTATGACTTTTTCTTGCATTTGTTTCTGATATCAACAAAAAAATAAGCTAGATAAAAAAAGGTTAGATGAAAAAAGGGTTAGATAAATAAAGGGTTAGACGAAAAAGGGATAAATAAATATTTAAGTACACAAACCTTAAACGCAAATAATTTTGTGCTCTTGCAATCCATCATAGAGAATACTTCATAACAAAGACTCTTGCATATTTTAAGGGGAGGATATTTTCAAGCGCTTCATATGACGTTCTATTATCAATTTTTTATATTCATAATGTTTTTATAATGGAAGTTAACTTAGGTTTCACGTGAATCACTAATGGAAGTGTCTTGACGGTTGATAGTCATGAAATGAACGACAAAGATTTAATTAAGGGCAGTGGCAAATATCATCAACTTTAACGCTAACATATCTCATCGATTTTAAAAAAACCAAGGTGTAAATAATTTTTTTTTAATTATACTGTTTACAAAGAATATTAGAAACACAATATATTACAACAAATTCCCACTACTGCTCCAGGCTTACTGAATTTAACAAAAGCATAGCCTCTATAGGCAAGTAGATAAAATCAAAGGAGAAAGTGTTTTCAACAACAGATCTTTGATGGAATCCAAATTTTGTTGCAAACTTTTATGTTGAAAATCCAAAAAAAAAACATAACTTATCCATCTTCAAACAAGTTATTGTAATTTCTGCACTTGTAATCCATCTCTGATCTGTTCTTAAGCGCATCTAGTTTAAAAAATTTCATGGCAATAGACAGTAGTAAATATTTCATGTATCTAGTGCGGCTACATATAAGAGAATTATGGTAAAATCTGATAAACTAAGATATTTATATAAAAAGCTAACTACTTTAGCCCTCGGATTTAACTTATAACTGAGATATATTATATTATCCATCACCTCGACTTTATGGAAAAACCGAGGTGAAATGTTTTTTTTGGACTTACATTGTTTACACAAATAATTAAAATAAATATTTTAAAAATAAATCTTTGTTCCTTTGAATGAATACCTTCGCTGATATATTATCTATCACCTCGATTTTAAGGAAACACCGAGGTGAAATGTTTTTTTTACTTACATTATTTACACAAAAAATTAAAATAAATAGCTTAAAAAAATCTTTACTCCTTTGAATGAATATCTTTGCTGATATCCATCATCCTATTAGTGCGCCTAGGCTTAATACCTCGTTGTTTTTCTGGTTGACGTGAAATCTCCGTCATGAAATGCGTTATTTGTTATAGTGATTTTATAGTAATAAGAATAAATTGTAAATCCAAATGTATTAAAATTTAAAAATATCATAATAGATAATTGAAATTAATGAAAATTTACATTAATATTTTAATAATATTAAAAAATATAATTGTATATTTTATTAAAATTTTGTACTAATAATCTAATAAACTGTAATAAAAAATAATTTAATAGATTGACATACATGGTTTTTCTTTATAAATTTTAAAATTTAAAATATTCAGAATATTTTAAAATGCAAGGTTGGATCAATACCTTTTATTTATGCGGGGCCAATGGTGGGTTCAAACCCAAAGCGCTTAAGTACATGGGAGCCTGTTGTTGTTGAAGTAAGGAAAAGATTATCGAGATGGAGGAGTCAGAATCTGTCTATGGGAGGTTGTTGTACTCCAAAATTTTCCCTCTCTTTTCTCAAGATATTTTCACCAAAGATATCAAATGCTCAAGGTTTTCACAAGAGTTTGATCAGACAATCTCACCTCTTAAGCACTGAGCCTCTAAATTAGGGTTTTAGTTTCATCAAGGACAAATGGAATCTTGATGCCTCAAATGACTTTCATGGTTCATTATAGGTCTCCAAGATTTCTCATACTAATTTTCAAGGCTTGCATCACAAATTTGCTCAGTCAATTGCTCAGATGACTGAAAATCAACTGTATTGGGTAAAAATCAACCGTGGTCAATATACAGTTAAACTTCATGATTTTTGTCCAACATCAACATTTTAAAGTCATATTCATCAATTTATCAAGTGTTGATCATAATTCTTCAAGAAAAGCACTCAAATCATCAAAGGGGCAAAAATGTCAAAATTAGGGTTTTAATTGAGAATGACTGATCATTGATTTTTGACATAATACATGACATAATGGTTTGAAGCATGATCTAAAAGACTTAAACACAACATGTTGACCTAATTTCATGGCTCAAATTATTTCTCAAGATCAATATATTGACAGTTGAATTTTGGATAAACCGATGAAAAGTCAACTAATGCACAAAAAGTCAAACTTTGGTTTTTTGATCAACATTGATTTTCAAAGATCAAGATTCATCAAAATACTCAAAAATATCAAACTTGGTCAACAAGAATCATGAAAGTCAAGAAATTCCACAAAAAGTCCAAGTTTCCAAGACTTAGAAAATTTTCTAAGTATATTTTATACTTGATAAATTCATTACTTCATGACATTTCTTTACCAAGATGCAAGATGATTCAAGGAAAACTTTCAACATAAAATTTGTAGATATTGATGAATCCTACAACTTTGTATTAAAGGATTTATGTCCAAAAAATTCTTAGATTTGAAGATATAAGCCTGTGAAGTCATGATATTTTTCATAAAACATTTAGTGAAAATTTTGACAAGTTTAGGCAGATTTTTGACCTAACTTCTTGACCAATTTTCACCTAGATCCAAAATGATTTAGCCAAAATGGTCAACATGAAGGTTGTAGACAATGTTTCAAGCTTTCCAAAATGTCATAAAATTTTAAGAGATCATTTTAAGCTAGGAGAATCGAAGAGAAGAAGTTGGGCATCCATTCTTGCATTTCAAGTCATTTTCATGAAGAACACTTGATCACATCTCAAGCCTATGCTAGATAATCTTGCTTTGCAGGCTTATAACTTGTAAATCACTCCATAATTAATTGTTTATACAACTGCTAGAGGTATGATCCAAGCATTGGAGCCATTGTCCAAGAGAATCATCCATTTTTGGCACAAAGTAACATTGCCATTCTTGTAACGTTGCTTTAATCACAAAGTCAACTTGTCTTGAGCCTCTAACTTGTCTTTTATGAACACACTAAACATACAAGATCAGATAAGCATGTTTAAAGCCTCTAAATACTTTATATTACCTTGTACTTCACATTGGGACAATGTTTGTCAAGATTGCTTCAAAAATAAGTCAAAAATCCATAACATGTGATCTTTGTTTTCTGATCACCTCCAGCCCTTAAACCATTACCTATAAATAGAGACACCATTTTGCAAGTTAGGACACAAATTCACAATCCTTGAAACTCCCTAAAACTCCCTCAAATTAGAATTTGCTCTAAAAACACCATTATTGTGTCATTTCTGACTTTGAACATCCATCTCACAATCCCCTCATGCGTTTTCCATTTTTATCAATCACCAAGCTTCTAATACACATATAGAGACAATCCAAACACCTAAAACACAACTGTAACACCTCCATCACCATCCTTCATTTTTAAAATCAGTCACTTGGACATTGACTTCTCCAGAACAATCCAGGCACTCTCAGCTCAAGCTAATCATTGAATTAACTTCCTAGGAGTCCACTGAAGCTATTCAGATCATCACAACACTTCCAAGAGTGCTCAAACTTAAAACACGATTTCCATTTTCAAGGTGAGTT